TATATATATATATATATATATATATATATATATATATATATATATAATATATATATATATATATGCATACACGTTATAGCATACTATAAAAGCATAAATTTTCTAAAAAAAATCATGATTACGTGCACGTATCCTAGCTGCGTCGACATCAAATTGAACAAACATAATTTAACATCGAATTTACATTACGAGTTCACCTGCGCGCACAGCTATAACGTTACGACTCGCTCACGGGTCGTACTCTAACCGGTCCTGCGTTATCGTACCAACGCTCATAAACCACTGAGCGCAGACAGTATAGAAAACTAGAGGCACAGGCTGCAGCATCATGTCCGCCTGCTTACACTACATCTACATATCAAAATGCAGCATGATTTGATGTGCTTCCTAGGTGCTTATGTTTGCTGGTTTTATATAGATGTCATGTGAGCCGGCTGACATAATCCTGCCGCCGGCGGGTGTTAGAGCCCGTAGCATGCATGCGCCTCGTCACCGTTACGCGAACCCCTTCGATACGAAACCGATTATTAATAGTTTTTTAGGAGCGCGAGATACGAGTTTCACTTACCTGTAGAGCGAGGAGGCTGCCGACGCCGATCACCGTCATTTCGCCGCTCACCTATAACGAGACAAACGTCGTTGCGTAAAGTGATCACTTAAGCATTGCTCGCGCTCTTCGCACCTGTCTTAGGTACGCACGGACGCTCGTACACGGTCTACCACCACGCTCTGTCCGCACGTAAATAAGCTTGCAGCTGTACGCGGTACACGCGTGCATAACACTGCGCGAAGAGAAAGAGAGAGAGAGAGTGTGTGGAGGAAGGAAGAGAGAGAGAGAGAGAGAGAGAGAGAGAGAAGGAGTGGCGGGCGGGATGGGAGAGCAGCACATGGGGCCTGCTCGCCGGACCGTGCAACAAAGAAGAGCGAGGCGCAATTATTTTAGGAAATTACGCGCCGAGTGACGCTCGGCTGCTCCGCCCAATGGCCGCAGCCGTCCCCGTCACTGCAGCGTGAAAAGCGAGAGTGTTCTACACTCGACCCCGTGCACTGCGCGCCATTACCAAGGCGCATCTGTCATGCAGCGAAATCGCTCTCGCTCTCGTGCGAACTCGAATTGCCATCGCTGTCAGGCTCGGGAGTCGTACGCAGGGAAGGATAATGAGGATCAGGGCTGGCCCCCAACCCCGCGATACTGCTCATGCATCTCGCAAAAAAGACGCGCAGCACTTAGCCGCTAACAGACTGATGTTGTGCGCGGTAAACGAGGGAGGGCGCCCATTCATGATTGCTCCTAACTCGAACGGCTCTTAAATTTACGCGAAATTATCATCTGATTCGATTCTCGTATAACCTATTAGGCCGGCGCGGCCAAGCCGAAAAGCGATGGATGGGGGAGGGATGAGGGAGAGGGACGCGAGGCGTATGTGCGAGCGTGTAGGTGAACACTCATTGCGTTATTGCGATGTAAGCCTGTAAGCACGAAGTAGTTCGGAACTTGAAGCACGAGGGTGAGAGAGGTGAGTGGCCTTTTCCTTCATGAAATGAAGTTATCCGAGTGGACATCGCATTGACGCATTTCTCCGGCGCACACTGTTGCTTCACCCGCAGTTCCTAGAGCACATCTAGTCTACCGGAGCAATGCGGTTCGGGGCAGACACGCGTGCGCCGGCATGGCATCTAATTAACTCGTATACACGTACAGGGAATGAATGAGCCAAGCGCGTATAGACGGAAAACGCGGAGATAGCGCGCCTAAGCTAAGAGAGAATGAGCAAAGCTGTGAAGGAGACGGCGATTGTATCTCATTCTCTCGTCGTCATCATTGTTATTTGCAGCGCCGTTTCAGCGATGACGTGACTGCAACGCGGTTAAAGCTAGGCAACACGCGCTTCCGTAATTAATCGTGTCTTGCGGCTAGTGTTGAAATAGCGGTTCTGTACCAAAATCACCGCGTTGTACTGGTAATGTTATCGTACGTCATTCAGCGTTTCAGTTTTGGAGCCGTATTCGGTTTGAATAAGGGAGGGTACACACATATAAGGAACAAACTGGTTGGTATGCTTTCGACACATAACTCGCTACAAACATTTGTGAGGTGAGCACTTGGAGATATGATAATGTCGATTTACCTAGCAGAAAAATTTGCCCGTCGCTTTAGCGCAGGTGAAAGAACTTTCGAACGAACGCGCATTACACAGATAGTCGCATTCGCGTAAGCGGATAATGAACTTTTCCACCTGCAAACAATTTACTCGCAGGTACGGTGAGAAACAACGACTGCTTGTCTGCCAATACGTGCTGCTGCTATCCGTATAAACCGTAGTGGAAAACGACGTGACAATGCACAGCGCTGTTTCGCGCGCTTGTTCGGGACAGTCAACCTTTCGACCCCGGCACATAACGGCATTGTGCGCGGGCAGGTTCGGCGTAAAAATAAACAACTGTCCAAGCTGACAATATACCACGTTTTTAATCGTGAGCATGCGTGTCGGATAGTGCGTACTATGGCTGATAGGGTCTATGTCTCCCAGGGTACTGCCGGAACGTACCCTGGGTACGGTCCGGTATACCGGAACGTACCCTGGTAACTATGTAGCTGATATGGTTAGAGTTAGTGTTAGGGTTAGGGTTAGGGTTAGAGTTAGGGTTAGGGTTAGGGTTAGAGTTAGGGTTAGGGTTAGGGTTATGGTTAGGGTTAGGGAGTAGGCGTAGGCGACTCCCTATAGACTCGTTAGTGGAGTAGGCAAGGTACGGTCTTGCATATTAGATAGTAGTATTTAGTACCAGGGTACGTTCCGGCAGTACCCTGGAGGACATAGACCCTATCAGCCGTACTATGCATGCGGTATTGTACGCGCAGGCGGTGCGCGGAGAGAAGCTCAAATGACGCTGTATCGATACACTTACTACTACCTTAATCAGTCTAAAACCACTTAGCCTCCGCGTTACCAGCCCATTTTCCATCGAGTTCATGCAGAAAAGACATTAAACGCAGTGATATACAGACAGCGAACGACAACGAGGGTCAATTTAAATCTAACCGCATCGAATCGCGGCTGAGAAGAGGAATGCATATTTTGTACGTACCACGATCGTCTCTGTATCGTATTTAACATTGCATCTGGCCACCATCTTGGTAATATCCGGCAACCGTCTAAGCACGTTTGCTCGAGGGGCAACGGGTTTTAATTTCCGTAACAAGCACAAAACTTTGCGGAGTTGCCAATTCAAATTTTATGCGATCGTCGCGAAATAGAGAACTTCGTTCGCCAATGTATGGATTTAGAAAAAGCAAATAATGCCACGTTAAAATTGAAGATTTATTTATGTAAATGACTCAGATGTTGTCATCACTCACGTCTGACTGTCTGTCCTTATCGTGATTTTATTACTGCGTAGCGCTTGCGTGAATAGGCCTATCCATTCTATCCAAAATGAATTGTATCATCCCCGTTTCAACTTAGCACTGTGAAACTAACTGCCTTTCATGCCGCGTCCATCCAGCTGCAACTCGTACTGGATTCGGAAATTCCAAACCAGAGACGATATGATGTTAACTATAATTATACGAATTTCTTACTTTCTGCATCGGTTCAGATTTGTCAGACTTTCTATGGTTAGAAACGAATCGACCTGTGAACTGAGCGCTGGTTAGGCGCTATTGTGACAATTGACGCATTCAACTTTTCGATCGATGGACGCACTGGCGTGAATCAGTCGGCAATACTCCGGGTGACATAACATGCAAGGCACAACGTACATACGTTGCTGTTCCCTATGTATCACATTCATTTTTCTCAAGTTGCAGCGACACCAAGCATCTGAAACACACATGCTCTTTCAATCTCTCTCGCTCTCTCTCTCTCTCTCTCTCTCTCTCTCTCTCATACACACGCGCACACACACATACACACACACACACACACACACACACACACACACACAC